CAGTACCTGCTCTGGCAGAAGGAGCAGGGGAATGAAGTGGACTCTTTGAGTGTCCTTGGTTGTGCTTTTTTACTGTAATAGTTTTGTGATGGTTGGCCTCCAGCCAGAAGGTGGCGCTTTTAAGAGTGCATCAGCTGTGGTCCCACAGCGGGGACAGGTTTCTCAGGTGGTGGGCAGGGCCGTAGAGCTCCCAAGATATTATGACCTTTGTCTTCAGCTACCAGAGTGGGTAGACAAAGACCAACAGGTGGGGGACAGGGATAGGTATGTCTGAGCTCAGTCTCTCCTGGGCGGGCTGCCTGCAGCTACTGTGAGGGATTGTGGGATGATTCCCAGGCCGATGGGGGGATGATTCCCAGGCCAATGGAGTTACATTCTCAGTTACATTCTGAGGGGGACTATGGCTGCCTCTGCTGAGTCATTGCTAGGGAAGTAGGGGAAAGCTGGCAGTGACAGACTTCACCTCACTCACACACAGCCTGCCATCCTAAAGGTTGGTCTCACTCCCGCCATGCCCTACCAATAGCACTGAGTCTATTTCCAGGCAGTCAGTAACCCCCTGAGAACTTTCCTTGGAGCTTTCCCTGGACCACTAGCCTCCCCACTGAGAAAGCGCTGACTCAGTGTTTTGCCATCTCAGGGAGCCTGCAGCGGTAATCCACTTCCTTCAAAGGGTCTGTGGATTCTTTCGGCTTTCCTAGTATGTTCCTTCTGTATTTCTTGGGGCGAAAGTTCATGACGTGAGTCTCCACATGCTGCTCTGTCTATCCGAGAGGGAGCTGCAAGGTAGTTCTGCCTCCTATGTGCTGTCTTAAGTCTCTCTACTGATTAAACATGTGCAAACATGAGAATAGGAAACTTATGGCAAGATTTATAAAGAAAATAAAGAGAAATTCAAGAAAATAGTGAAAAATGTGATAGAATCATAAAGTTAGGAGAAACAGAATATCATCTGTAGAAATCTTTGCTGAGAAATTTGAAAATCAAGATGAAATGACTGGTTTTCTTGGTGACTATAAATGACATAAATTGATTCAACAAAAGTTAGAAAAATTTAACGGAGCAGTAACCATGGAAAAATTTAAAATTTTCATAGATCTCTCTTTATAAGAAGAATTGACTCATATTTTATAGGTAAATTCTATACAACATTTTAGGAACTGATCATTTTATGTTATTTCAGACTAATAAGTATCACTTTCATTTAATGACTGAATCCAGAATTTGATAACTATTGCAGGAAAGGGCTGACCTTTTTAAGAATACATAAATTTCCTACCCCAAATATTAGCCAATTGAATCTAGTTAGAGGTTGAGTATGAGCATAAGCTTTGCCTTGTAAGTGCAATACTATTTTAATAATAGTATCTCTATGTAGTAATGCATAAGATAAACATATTAAAAACCAGAAAGCCTCATGATTATATTAAAGATATTGTAAGACTTTTAAGCAATATAGTGGCCACCTATGATAAAATTCTAAGTGAAACAGAAATGGCAAGAAAGTTTCTTGAAACGGGTAAAGGTATAATCAGAAATGTAACAACAAGCACAGTAGCATGTGGAGAAATGCTAAAACGTCAAGCCAAATGGCAATGCCACAGTTATTACTATTATTTCATTTCTTTTGAAGCCTCTATTATCTTGGGAAAATATATAAGAAAAGACAGCAGGAATGAAGAGACTTATTTTCATTGGAAAATGTTAGAGACTATACAAAACCTGTAAGATAATTAGTAACGTTGAGCTTGGAGAACAAATACTAGAGCAGTGAATGAAAATCATTAACCACACTGTGTATGATAAAGTAGCACTAGTGTGTTTCTCTTAGTAGACAAGAAATGTCACAGTTCAGATTTTTCTCTAACATCCTTTATTGAACAATCCTGTGAATTTGTTCTTATAGGTTAACTTCATTATCACTTAATCAACTCCCTTGTTCTTGCCTTCATTACCAATCCAAACAGGAAAGGGTTCCCATGGAAAAATAGGCCCATTCTCAGAAAGAATAAATCTCACAACGTATCTTGGAATGAAACAGGAATGTGTAAGATTTACAGGGAAAAACAATAAAACACTTGGAAGGGATGTAAAACATCACCAAGTACTTGGTATGGAGGGTACTTGTGTGGCTGACTTGGCATGGAAATGCAGCACTTCATGTAAGTGGGAGTGGGGGTGTGACTTACATAATTTCTGTGGGAACCCTTTCCTGTTTGGACTGGTAATGAAGGTGGGAATAGGGGAGTTGATTAAGTGGTAATGGCATTAACCTATAAGAACAAATTCAGAAAATTGTTCAGTAAAGGCTGTTAAAGAAAAATCTGAATCGTGAGAGTTCTTATCTACTAAGAGAAACACACCAGTACTATAGGAGGTAAATCAGTCTGTAGAACAATCTCTTTTATGTGAGTGGCATTTTCAAGTTATTCTGGAAAATATGGATTAGGCAATAAATTTGTTGGGATAATTGGTTATCCATTGGAGAAAAATTCATTTTCACCACACAACTCAAAATTAAGTTTCAAACACGTTAAATGTGTAATCATTAAAGATAGTTATGGAAAGTCTAACAGAAAATGTAGTACAATATGTGGTTTTTTTTTTTTTTTTTTTTTTTTTGAGTTCGCTCTTGTTACCCAGGCTGGAGTGCAGTGGCGCGATCTTTGTTCACCACAACCTCCGCCTCTGCCTCCTGGTTTCAAGCAATTCTCCTGCCTCAGCCTCCTGAGTAGCTGGGTTTACAGGCATGTGCCACCATGCCTGGCTAATTTTTGTATTTTTAGTAGAGACAGGGTTTCACTATGTTGACCAGGATGGTCTCAATCTCTTGACCTCATGATCCACCCGCCTTGGCCTCCCAAAGTGCTGGGATTACAGGCGTGAGCCACTGCACCCGGCAAGTACAATATGTTTTTTAAATTGTAGAACTGGGGCCAGGCACCGTGGCTCACGCTTGTAATCCCAGCACTTTGGGAGGCCAAGGCGGGTGGATCGCCTGAGATCAGGAGTATGAGACCAGCCTGGCCAATCTGGTGAAATGCCATCTCTACTAAAAATACAGAAATTACTGGGCGTGGTGATGGGCGCCTGTAATCCTACCTACTCAGGAGGCTGAAGCAGGAGAATCACATGAACCGGGGAGGTGGAGGTTGCAGTGAGCTGAGATTGTGCTATTGCACTCCAGCCTGGGCAACAGAGACAGACTCTGTCTCAAAAAAAAAAAAAAAAAAAAGTGTAGAATTGGGAAGATCTTTTAAATCACAGAACCCATGAAGGAAGGAACTGATAGATTTGGATACATGCATATGAAACCCTTCTAAGCTGTTGAAAGATATCATTAATGAAGCTAACAGGTGAATGACAAACTGAAAAAATATTTGCAACGGATAGAATAGATAAGCATCTGACATATGTAAAGAGTTTCTCGAAAGTAATGAAAAATGTATCCCCAAAAAGAAAAAAATCAAGGAACGGTTTACACAGAAATTTGTTTGCTCAGTAACCACATTAAAATATCCCCAGAGTCGAGGAAAACAGCAATAAATTATTTTTTTCCATCAGTGGTAAAAGCAAGAAGATTGTCAATATGTGGCAGTGTAGATGGAAACCAATGTTTTGGTAGTGTTTTGGGTTAATAATGTGCATATCTTTTGACTCAATAATTCTGTCTAGAAGCCTGTTCTGTGTAAACTCACATAATGAGAAGCATTAAAAAATCTATGCAGAATTCTTAGGAAATGGGAAAATGGAAATAACCCAAATGCCCAATGGTTAAAGATTCATGGGGCTAATTATGATTCTTCAGTGCAGGGAAAGATTTAGTTCTGTCTCTACTGATATGGAGAAATGTTGGTATATTAGTAGCAAATGGATAAGGCTCCTTGAAGGGCAGAATGTAAATTCTGGAAAGGTAGAAAGTTTAACAGTAAGTGCCTGGAAATGAATATGCAATTTAGACTGACAATCGCATAAGGTATATTAACTGGTTACAAGAAACCAACGGTTGATTTTCAGGTTGTATATTATTTTATAATGAATATTTCCCAAATGTACTTTCTACAATGAAAGTCAGCTAATTTTCTTACCTTATTAGGATTTTACATTTGAAAGTAATTACATGGCATTAAGTAACTGATCATCAGATTGATGCTTGGTCAGAGATTTTGGTAACAACCAATTTTCAGCGGATAGCAGGCAATGCTCAGCAGCCCTGACCTTCAGAAAAATTCATATAACGTGATCATAGTTTTTAAGGCATATAAAGCTTATGTAGGAGAGTGTTTTTCAATCACACCAGCTCAGTGACAAGAAAAGAGTGGCGTAAGTTTCCAGTGTAACTTTACAAACCTAGTATCTCCTAAAAAAACACACTTCATTCGATTCATTTCTGGTGGGTAATAATAATTTCATGCATGCATATGCGGTGGAGAAAATGAGCAGGGAATTTTGTAATTTATGAAAATGTATGTATTAGCACCTTCTTTTAAAAAACATGCTATACTGAATTTCATCTGGGTATATAGCATTTTTGTCTCCTGGAAAGAAAATGATCAATTATTAATATTCTCTGGTACGGCTTTTTTGTTTTCTGGAAGCTACTTGGTTCTTTGCAGAACTGGACCGAGTTCGCAAATGCCATTTTATCACCAAATTATCTAAGGAATCATCATAACTCCTGACTTAAAGTACGGTTTTACTATTTCTCTTTGGTTCAGTATTTCAAAATGGTTAAACCTATTTTATTATCATTTTAAATCCTGCTTTGGAATGGAAATATTAGTTTCCACGGTCATACATCCTGGATCCACTTACATAGCATGCCACTCCGTGATCTGATGTACAAACGCCTGGTGGTGATTTTTATATACGGTTTCAGCTGATTAATGATTGCTTAGTCTCACTTTTTAATATGCATTCCATGCTTTTTTTTCTCCCACGGGGAAGGTTATTTGCCCTTTTTATCACATTTTCCCCATTTCTGTCCGTTCCTCACCTAGGCTTTCCCGCCATCCGAGGCTTGGCCCTAGCCCTGCGCGGCATCCCTCTCGGCTGCGAACCCTCTGCCTGCGCCCGGCCCAGCCACAATGGGGACTGCTCAGGTACAGTGTCACCTCGCTCTGGCTTCCTGTGTGTGTCCGTCCCGCGTCCCTACCTAGCATTTGCTTACTGCCTGCTGTGATGGGTGCTCTGCCCAGGGAGGGGTGCGGGATGACGGGCCTGGCCGGGCGCTGGCCGCCCAGAAGGAGCCAGGCAGCGAGTGTGGTAAGGCCGGGCGGGGGCGAGGGTTCCTGGGGCAGAAGCCGCGAGGCTGCAAGCACTGCTCGCAGTTTCAGCCAGAGCCCTGTATACAGACTTCTCACGTGCGCAGGGCTTGCTGCTCTGCACCACTGGCAGTGGTGCGAGAACGTTGCGAAGTTTGGGAGGCCTGAGGGGTAGGAGCAGGGCCAGGCCACCGCATGTGCTCCGAATGAACCCGTGCCTTCACCCAGCGTCCGTGTGACTGCGAATTGTCCCCCGATACCACCGGAGTGCAGCTTTTCCAATGGCAATCTGAAGTATTTTCCAGAGGCTTTCAAAGAGCTTTTCTGTGGAATCTGGTGGTGTATGGGGCTTTGTGTGTCCAGAGGCCTGGGCCTGGCGACCTAGGACACAGCCTTCGGACAGCAGCATCCAGGGCTGCGATGCCACAGTGGCCACTGCCGGGGTGCTGCAGGGACTGTCCAGCGGCTGTGCCCCCCTCTGCAGCCCCCAGACCCACAAAGAGCAGATTTGAGTGGGGGGTTCTGTCAGTTCACCTGCCCCAGTGCCAGTGGGCGAAGCACGGTCATGGAGATGGCATTTTGTGTGATTTGTGGAAGGGAAGAGAGGATTAAGTATAATACAATCTTATTTCTTATTCCAGAAGAGCTTTGCACTGATGGAAAGGTCTGAATTTCGGGTGGGTCGTGCTGCTACCACTGCCCTGTCGCCTCCTTCTGTTTCTTTCCTTCTTTTCCATCTCACTTGGTGGCAGCTTCACACGCCCTGGCTTAGGGCTCCAACCCTTGCTGTACCTACTTGGTACCCTCAGAAGGTGGTGTTGACTTCAGGCTGCCAGACCAAGTTGCCCCTCGCCCCGGAACAGGCAGCTCTTGTGCTGGGGTTTCGGGAGCTCTGTGTACAGCTTCTGAAGAGTTGTAAGCCAAGCTCGCATTTATTATTATTTTTTGATATTTGCTTTCCCTTCTGATTGGAAAAGATAGTCCATAGTACACTTGTCAGCTCTCCATTGAAACTCCCTGTAACCAGCAAGGGGCAATTGGTATTTGTCCTGTAAATTAGTTAGGGCGCTTAATTGCAAAGTAAGACTCACTCTGGTGTGTTTAAACAGAAAATAACTTGTTGAAAAGGGTATCAGGCATCCCACAGACCCTTGACCAGGCTGGGTAAAGAGGTTTTAGCCTCCACCAGCTCCAGCAGCATGGGACTCAACAGAACAGATCCCAGAGCTCTGTACAGAGCCCTTCCTGGGACACGCACCCCAACAGGGATGTTTGGGTGTCAGGATGTAGCTGTGGCGCCTGCTTCCAGCTGCCAGAGATGTTGATCAGATCCTTTTTGTTGTTGATGTTTGTTTTTGTTTTGTCTTGCACTTTGGGAAGGGGTCATTAGCAGCTCGGGGAGCTGTCAGAAGTGCAGGGAGGCCGTTCATCCGCAGTGGAGTCTGTGGCCTGGGTCCATCCGCCCAGCCGTCCTTTCATTCTGTTGTGTGATAACCATGGCAGCTCCCATGAGGCACAGATATCCCTTAGAGGATGGAATCCCACGTGGCTTTATACTACAGGGGAAGCTGCAGTCTCATTCGTCACGTCCTGTAATTCCTAAAGGATCCTGGGACGAGGTTCCTTCTTCCTTCTTCCTCCTCCTCTTTCTTGTTTCCTCATCCTTCTTTCTTATTCTTTTGTCCCTCTGTCACTCAAGCTGGAATGCGGTGTGCTGTCCTGGCTCACTGCAGCCTCAACCTCCTGGGCTCATGTGATCCTCCCACCTCAGCCCCTGTGTTTTCCACCACGCCCAGCTAATATTTGTAGTTTTTGTAGAGATGGGGTTTTGCCATGTTGCCCAGGCTGGTCTTGAACTCCTGGGTTCAAGCGATCTCTTCGCCTCGGCTCCCACAGTGCTGGGATTGCAGGCGTGCCCACGCACATTGTTCTTTCTCTGGTTCAGCACAGCCCATCTTGATTGAGATACTGCCAAGGTTCCCTGCAGGAATGGGGTGCGTGTTGGCTTAGTTTTCCTATGTAAATATCTACAAGACACAGCAGTGCTACAGGCAGCTTTTGTTGTTTGAGGACCCAGTGTTCATGACACCTGTCCCCACCCCCATGTGTGTTCCCCTTGTCCTGGCCCAATTCCTGGCTCCCAGCCTTTCCCTCTGGTGAAGACATGTGCTGACCTCCTGTGGATCTGCCTGTGTGGGGTCACTGGTCACTGCCATTTGCTGCAGGCTTTGTCTGGTAGGTGTGGTAGTGCTAGCTGTTCAGGGACCCTGGGGCCAGACACGCTGGCCTCATCAGCAGCAGAGCCTCTCCTGCACCGGGGATGTGGTCACACCTGCTTCCTTTCTGCTCACTGGTCTAGTGGCACAGCCAGCTCAGCCTCTAGCCACAACTCACTTAGCACCCCGCGTATCCCCTGGCACCTCACTCCCTGAGGGCGATGGAAGCTGCAGGGCATGAGGGACAAGAGACAGATATTTTGAGAGGGACCTCCCCACCTCTATGGTGGTCTCTGGAGCGAGGTCTTCTGGCTGCAGGACAAGCAGAACCCTATGTTGGCTCAAGGTGCAGGTCAGATACCAATTATATCCTGCAGGAGCCCGCTTGAAGAAACCCCCCCTAACTCACTGCAAACCCAGCCAGAGGAGGGCTCTTCCTCTGCCCTCACTGTCCCCAAAATGAGCCCACAGAGCCATCTGCAGGGTCTCTGCTGCTGCATGGCCATCAGGACAGACACGTGCCATGGACGCCTGAGACCCACGTGCCTGTGGTTCAGCCACACAGCTGCTGAATGAGGTTTTTCTGTCAGATTCTACCTTGGGAGGGTGGAGTTTTCCATGGGAAGCTGTATACCTTTAGGAGAATAGGCACCACAGTTGGCATTTGGGATTCGAGAGTTCTCTGTTGTGGGTTTTCCCGGGCGTGGAGGCCATTCCACAGCAGCTGGCCTCTGCCCAGAGACAGCCACACCTCCCTCAAGCAGTGAGTGCCAGGCAGTGTTTAGCACCACCAAGTCCTGTGGGCAAAGCATCCCCCACTCACTGAGAAATGGTAAGTCTCAACATCGTTGGCACAAAGTTCATCATTTCCCCTTATTATCTGTGATGACATCATCTCCCTCATTCCAGATGTTGCTAATTTGCTTTTCTTCCTCTTCAGTCTGAGGTTTATCCATTTTATTGATTTTATCAATGAACCAAGTTTTGGTTTCCTTTTCTTTTTAATATTTAATTATTGTGGGTACATAGTTGGTGTATGTATTTGTGGGGTACTTGGGGTATTTTGATACTGGCATGCAATTCATGATAATCACATCAGGATAAAGAAGGTATCCATCATCTCAAGCACTTATCTTGTGTTATAAACAATCCAATTATCCTCTTTTAGTTATTTTTAAATGTACAAGAAATTATTGTTGACTGTAGTCACCCTGTTATGCTATCAAACACTGTATTTTATTCACTCTGTTTTTGTACATGTTAACCAGTCCTTCTTAACCTCCATTACCCTGGTAACCATCCTTCTATTCTCTGTCTCCATGAATTCAGTGTTTTAATTTTTACTCCCACAAATAATTGAGAACATGCCGTGTTCATTTCCATGCCCAGCTTACTCCACTAACATAATGAACTCCAGTTCCATCCATGTTGTTCAAATGACAGGACCTCATTCTTTTTTTTTTATTGCATTTTAGGTTTTGGGGTACATGTGAAGAACATGCAAGATTGTTGCATAGGTACATACGTGGCAGTGTGATTTGCTGCCTTCCTCCCCATCACCTATATCTGGCATTTCTCCCCATGCCAACCCCCCCAACTCCCCATCCCCCGCTGTGTCTCCCCTATTTCTCTCCAACAGACCCCATTGTGTAGTGCTCCCCTCCCTGTGTCCATGTGTTCTCATTGTTCAACACCCGCCTATGAGTGAGAACATGCAGTGTTTGATTTTCTGCTCCTGTGTCAGTTTGCTGAGAATGATGACTTACAGGTTCATCCATGTCCCTACAAAGGACACAAACTCATCATTTTTGATGGCTGCATAATATTCCATGGTGTATATGTGCCACATTTTCCCTGTCCAGTCTATCATCGATGGGCATTTGGGTTGGTTCCAGGTCTTTGCTATTGTAAACTGTGCTGCAATGAACATTCGTGTGCACGTGTCCTTATAGTAGAACGATTTATAATCCTTTGGATATATACCCAGTAATGGGATTGCTGGGTCAAATGGAATTTCTATTTCTAGGTCCTTGAGGAATTGCCACACTGTCTTCCACAATGGTTGAACTAATTTACACTCCCACCAACAGTGTAAAAGTGTTCCTATTTCTCCACCTCCTCTCCAGCATCTGTTGTCTCCAGATTTTTTAATGATCACCATTCTAGCTGGTGTGAGATGGTATCTCAATGTAGTTCTGATTTGCATTTCTCTGATGACCAGTGATGATGAGTATTTTTTCATATGTTTGTTGGCCCCATGTATGCCTTCTTTTGTAAAGTGTCTGTTCATATCCTTTGCCCACTTTCGAATGGGCCTGTTTGTTATTTTTCTTGTAAATCTGTTTTAGTTTTTTGTAGATTCTGGATATCAGCCCTTTGTCAGATGGGTAGATTGCAAAAATTTGTTCCCATTCTGTTGGTTGCTGATTCACTCTAATGACTTCTTTTGCTGTGCAGAGGCTGTGGAGTTTGATTAGGTCCCATTCGTCTATTTTGGCTTTTGTTGCCAATGCTTTTGGTATTTTGGTCATGAAGTCCTTGCCTATGCCTATGTCCTGAATGGTTTTGCCTAGATTTTCTTCTAGGGTTTTTATGGTGTTAGGTCTTATGTTTAAGTCTTTA